CTCGGAGAGCCCAGCAAGCTACCGAGAGTATCTCGCCCGCACGGCAGAGCCTGGCAAGCTACCCATGACGTACTCAATATGCCAAACACAGTAACAGCAAGTCTTATGATGGAGACATTACTGGGCCTGCTCAAGCAAATCGATGAACAACGGGAGGACCGTGATATTCCCATAAGTGGTATTTCTGGGTCAAATGGGAACTCAATTTCTAATATTTTGAGAAATGTCCATATCTTTTTCCAAAAGGGCTGAACCAGTCAACATTCCCACAAGCAGTGAAGGAGAGTCTCTTTCTCCCCACATCCGCACCAACACTGATTGCTTTTATTCTTTTGGATGTAAGACAGTTTTTACAGCGTGAGATGATATCTCATTGTTGTTTTGATCTGCATCTCCCTGATGATTTGTGTTGAAGAGCATTTTTTTTCATGTGCTTTTGTCTATTCAGATATCTTTGAGAAAGTTTCTGTTCATTCCATCGCTGCATTTTCTGGTGAAGTTAGATGTCTTCTTTTTGTAGAGTTCAACCAGTTCCTTGTATATCCTTGATATCAACCCCTTATCTGATTGGTATTGGGTAAATATACTTTCCCATTCTGTAGGCTGTTTTGTATTTTGGTCACTGTTTCTTTTGAGGTGCAGAAGTTTCTTAATTTAAGATAGTCTCATTTGTTTATCTGTTTCCACTTTCTTGGCCAGTGGCAGGTCATCTTTGAAGATATCTTTAACCTCAGTGTCATGAAGGGTTTTGCCTACCTTGTCTTCAATATACCTAATGGATTCTGGGCTGATGTTTAGATCTTTAATCCATTTTGATCTGACTTTTGTGGATGTGTTAGGTAGAGAACTGAGTCCTTTTTTTTTAATTGCATGTAGCAGTTCAGTTTTACCAGCACCATTTGTTAAAGAGGCTTTCCTTGCTCCACTTCACATTTCTTGCTCCCTTATCAAAGATTAGATGATCATATATTTGAGGGTGTGTGTGAGGATATTCAACCCTGTTCCTTTGGTTTGCAGTTCTGCCTTTGTTCTAATACCATGATGTTTTAAACATTACTATTTTGTAGTAGAGTTTGAGGTTGAGGAAGGTGATGCCTCCTATCTTCTTATCCCAAGAAATGCTTTATCTATTTGTGCGGGTTTGTTGTTCCATATGAATTTCAGGAGTGTTTGATCCATTTCTTTGAAAAATTTTATGGGTATCCTTATAGGAATTGCATTGAATCTATATAATGTCTTGGGGAGTATTGACATTTTGACAATGTTAATTCTCTGAATTCTTGAGGAGAGGATATGTTTCCATTTACTTGTTTCCTATTTTATTTCTTGAAGTAGTGTTTTGTAGTTGTTCTTTTTTGTGCAGGTCCTTTACCTCCTTAGTTAAGCTGATTACAAGATATTTGACTTTCTGAGGCATGATTGTGAATGGGATTGCTTTTTTCATGTTGCTTTCTTCTCTCTAATTATTTGCATATAGGAAAGCCATGAACTTTTGGGTATTTATTTTATAGACTGTGACTTTTCTATTTTGACAAGTCTATTACTTCTAGGAGATTTTTGGTATAGGATTTTAGGATTCTCTAAATACAGTGTCATATCATCTGCAAATAGTGAGATTTTGATTTCTTCCTTTCCTATCTGGATTCCCTTGATATCTTTTTCTTGCCTAACCACTATTGCAAGTAATTCTAGTACTATTTTGAATAGAAGTGGTGAGAGTGGACATCCTTGTCTTGTCCCTGATCTAAGAGGGAAGGCTCTTACTTTTTCCTTATTGAGGATAATGCTTGTCGTAGGTTTGTAGTAGATGGCTTTGACTATATTGAGAAAGTTCTTTCAATACACATTTTGGTCAAAGTTTTCATTATAAATGGGTGCTGGGTCTTGTCAAATGCTCTATCTTCATCTATTGATATAATCATATGTTTTTATATTTTCTTTTATTGATATGATGGATTATGGGCTGGGGTGATAGCACAGTGGGTAGGGATTTGCCTTGCACATGGCCGACATGACCAACCCTTGTTCGATTCCTCTGCCCCTCTTGGAGAGCCCGGCAAGCTACCAAGAGTATCTCACCTGAACTGCAAAGCCTGGCAAGCTACCTGTGACATATTCAATATGCCAAACACAGTAACAAGTCTCACAATGTTACTGGGCCCACTTGAGCAAATCCATGAACAATGGGAGGACAGTGACAGTGACAGTGACTTGCAAAAGTTAAACCATCCTTGCATTCCAGCATGAATCCCACTTGGTCGTGGTATATGATCTTTTTGATGAGTTGTTAGATTCTATTTGCTAATATTTTGTTGAGGATCTTTTGCATCGGTATTCATTAGGGATATTGGCCTGTAATATTCTTTTCTTTTTGTGTGTGTGTGTTGTCTCTGTCTGCTTTTGGTATTAGAGTGATATGTGCCTCATAAAAACTGTTTGGGAGTGTTTCTGTTTCTTCAGTTTCCTGGGAAAGCTTGAAAATGACTGGCAATAAATCCTATTTTTAAATGTTTGGAAGAATTTGCTAGTGAAACAATCTGGACCTGGGCTTTTGTTTTGGGGAAGACTTTTGATTGCAGGTTCAATATTTTGATAGTAATAGGTCTATTCAGGTATTCCAAATCTTCTTGGCTCAGCTTTGGGAAATTATCCAGGAATTTACCTATTTCTTCTGGATTCTCTTGCTTTGTGTCTAAAAGACTTTCAAAGTAATCTGTGATGATCTTTTGAATTTCTGTGGTTTCTGTTGTAATGTCCTCTTTTCATTTCTGATTCAGTTTATTAGGGTTCTCGCTCTCTCTTTCTTTTGAGTCTTGCTAGTGGTTTATCAATCTTGTTTATTTTCTCAAAGAACCAGCTCTTGATTTCATTGATCATTTGAGTTGTTTTTCTGGGTATCTATGTTGTTAATTTCTGCTTTAAGTTTTGTTATTTCTTTCTTTTTGCCTGGTTCATGCTCCTTTTGTTGGTCTTTCTGAGCTGTGAAGCCAACTTATTGATGTGGGCTCTTCCTTCCTTCCCGAGAAATGCTTTCATAGCTATAAAATTTCCCCTTACCACTGTTTTAGCTGTGTCCCACAAATTCTGGTAGCTCTTGTCTTCATTCTAATTGTTTCAGGTACCTTTTGATTCCTTACTTGATTTCCTTCCTGACCCACTCGTTGTTCAACACTGAGTTGTTTATTTTCCAGGTGTCTGATTTGATTCTCCGTGTCTCTGTGTGATTGACTTCTGTCTTTAGTGCATCATGGTCTGAAAGGATAGTTGATACATTCTCTATCTTCCTGATTCTATTGTGGTATGTTTTGTGACCTAGAACATGGTCCATCTGGAAAAATGTTTCTTATGCCCTGGAAAAGAATGTGTATCCTATTTTTATATGAAAACTCCTGTATACATCTATTAGCTCTCTCTATTCTATTTCTTCCTTCAAATTCAGTATTTCATTGCTGAGATATAGCCTTTATCATCTACCCAGAGGTGATATGGAAATGTTGAAGACTGAAACTACTATTGTGTTGCTACTAATGTCCTCTTTGAAGTCTATTAGCAGTTGTTTTAAGTACTTAGCTGGTCCCTCATTGGGTGTGTATATGTTTAGGAGTGTGACTTCTTCCGCTGTACATATCCCTTGATTATTAAAGATGGCCTTTGCATCCCTTCTAATCTTTTTCAGCCTAAAAACTATGTTGCTGGATAATATTATGGCTACCCTGTATTTTTTAGGCAGTTGTTTGCTTGAAGGATTGTTTTCCATTCTTTGACTTTGAGTTTGCGTTTGCTCTGATTGTTCAGAGATGTTTCTTTTTTTAAAAAATTGTTACTAGTGAAACATCATCAGGTACAGTTGTAGACTTACAAATTTTTGTGCTTCGGTTTCAGTTATACAATAATTGAGAGTACCCATCCCTCCAACAGTGCCCATTATCAACCACCAATGATCCCAGTATCCCTCCCACCCATCTGCCCAATCCCACCTCTGTGGCAGGGCATTCCCTTTTGTTCTCTCTCTCCTTTTGGGTGCTGTGCTTTGCAAAAGAGGTATTGAGTGTCAATCATGCTTGGTCTATAGTCTACTTTGAGCATGCATCATCTCCCATCCTAGGAGGATTCCCCCAGCACCCTTTACTTAGTGCTTCCTTCTCTATCTGAGCTTCCTTTTCCCCTAGTATGTGTGACTGGCCTTCAAGCCATGGAGTGAACCTCCTGGTACTTATCTTGACTAATCTTGTGTGGTAGTCTCCTATTTTGTTACTTTATATTCCACAGATGAATGCATTATTTCTATGTCTGTTCCTCTCTTTCTGACTCATTTCATTTAGCATTATACTTTCCATAACAGCTACATAGTACTCCATTGTGTAGATGTACCAAAGTTTCTTTAACCAATCGTCTGTTCTCAGGCACCCGAGTCTTTTTTTTTTTTTTTTTTTTGCAAATTTTGGCTATTGTGAACAGTGCAGCAAGGAACATACAAGTGCAGATGTCATTCTGACTATACTTTTTTGCTGCTCTGGGTAGCGCCACAACGAAGTAGGTGTTCCCCAAATTCTCCTTCTGCTGCCCGGCAGTGGGGGCATGGCACAGGAAAGGGTCATGCACGGGGCATGGGATAGGGACTCGCTCCCCTAAGAACCTGCAGAGGAGGGCAGCCGGGGTGAGGTGGGAGGGCACTCCAGTGGAACTTCAGCAGGTGTTCCCCAAAGTCTTCTCCTTCTGCCTGGATGGGGGGCGGGGAGCAGCACAAGGAAGGAGTGCACCTGGGTTACAGGAAAGGGACACTCTCCACGATGAACCTCTAGAGGAGCCAGATGTGTTTCTTGTAGGCAGCATAATATTGGTTCGGTTTTTTAATCCATTTTGCCACTCTGTGTCTCTTAATTAGTGCATTTAGACTATTGACATTGAGAGAGATAATTTTCATGGGGTCCTGTGCCATCTTTCTGTAGAGATTTGTTGTACTTGTAGGGTTTTTTTTTCTTGTCTTATAGTAGAACCTTAAAAATATGGAACACTTCACGAATTTTTGTGTCATCCTTGCTCAGGGGCCATGCTAATCTTCTCCGTATCATTCGAGTTTTAGTATATGTGTTGCCAAAGTAAACATGAGTCTGTGTTTTTTATTTGTCCGTTTTCACACTGCAGAAGACTGTATTCTTATTTAAAAACATACTTACTGCTTTCTTCCTTTCCCCTCACATCTTTCTAAACAAGTTTCAATTAAAACTATTTTGTTCACCAAAAACCAAAAAAAGAAGAAAAGAAAAAAGGAAAGAAAGAGAGAGAGAGAGAAAGAAAGAAAGAAAGAAAGAAAGAAAGAAAGAAAGAAAGAGGAGGAAGAGAGGGAGGGAAGGAGGGAAGGAAAGAAGGAAGGAAGGAAGGTAGGGAGAAATAAAGGAAGGGAGGAAGGAACGGAGGGAAAGAGGAAGGGAGGGATCGAGGAAGGAAGGAAGGAAGGAAGGAAGGAAGGAAGGAAGGAAGGAAAGAGAGAGTAAACAAGATTCACGAAACTTTAACTAGACTTACTCTAAAAACGAGCAAAAAAACAAGTAAATAGGATCAGAGATGAAAGGAGGAGAAATTATAACCAACACCTCGAAATTAAAAAAAATAATAATTATTTTGCTTTACTAAAAATAATAGCACTTAGTATATCTCTAAAATTATATGTAGAGAGAAATATTATGATAATGGGTCAGTTTATTTAAAAGTTAGTTGCAGCTCAGGAATTGTGATATAATCAGTCAGAACTGTCAGATATTATTTCCTGTAGTAAGAGCTATATGGTACAAATAATCTATTTGATATTTAATATCTCTTTGGAAACAAACATATTATTAATTAACAATATTATTAACATTATTATTAACATTATTATTATTAACATTAATATTATTAATGTTTAGGACTTGGGCTGGAGCGATAGCACAGCGGGTAGGGCGTTTGTCTTGCACACAGTCAACATGGCTGACCTAAGTTCGATACCTCCGCCCCTCTCAGAGAGCCTGGCAAGCTACTGAGTGTAACTCTCCCGCATGGCAAAGCCTGGCAAGCTATCTGTGACGTATTTGATATGCCAAAACCAGTGACAAAAAGTCTCACAATTTATTGTGAGATGTTACTGGTGCCTGCTCGAGCAAATCGATGAACAACAGGAGGACAATGCTACAGTTTAGGACTTATTAAAAATAAGTATACTTTGAGTCTTGATGGAAGTTAGTTGAAGATTTCTAGATGCATAATATTAAATGTGTGTAAATGAATTGGTAATGATTATGTGCCTGATTTGCCTGGTTTTTCTGTAAATTTGGTCAATAACTTATTCTGCAGAGAGTATATACTCATGTGAGATTACAAGGTCAATGGTAAATCTATAATAAGTGGTTTTACTTGCCATACAGGTAAAAAGGGTAAAAGGCAAATTTATGTAACTCCTTTTAAGAGATAACAGGGTACATTATATATGCTGTCAATAGTAATATTAGATTTATGATAAGCGATGATAGAGATATTTTTTTAAATTTTTGGTTTGGGGGTGATACCTAGTTTTCTTGGGGAAATACTTCACTCTGTGCCCAGGGGTTGCTCCTTGTGGTACTCAAGTTATAATACAATGCCAGGAAATGAACAACGAACCTCACATGCAAATAATGCACTAAACATTTTGAGTTATGTTTCTGTCTCTAAATTTCATTGCAAATGATTTTTCTGTTTTAATTTTAGGGGGAAAAAAAGGTTAGGGCCATTCTATTGTGTTTATAAAAATGTCTGGTTGTGAATATAAAAGTTATAGATGACTTGGATTCCTTAACTATCATTCATCTTAAACCTTCTACTTTTATGTAAGACCATTTAGATTAAAAGGCATTTAATGGATAGGAACCCATTTCAAAACTCTGAAGTGGAAAGAGTGTTTTTCATTGACATCCACTGAATAAAAGCTGAATTGTGTTTATTAATGAACACAGTAACTGAAGGATGAAACCTCTCCATTGTCCTCCATTTGGCCTCAATGTTAGGAAGACTTTTCTGTAATTATAACAATGGGTTATTCTATCTATTATGATTTTATAGCAAGTTTTTATTTTGTGCCTCCACCAGTTTATTAAAAATTCCCTAGTTCTATAAAATCTGTGTTTGTTGAAGAATACATTTAGAATTATAATCATATTTTGTGGTCCCCATTGCTTCTATTATAGGGAAATTGCCCATAATTATTCCTGTCAACTGATTTCTTCTCCTAAATTCTCTTGATGTGCTATGATTCCTTACATCATAATTATATTGAAAATTTTTGTCTAATGCTGATCAAAAACAGTACCATTGTACTAACGTTTTCTTTGTTCTCATAAATTGTGAGAAAATTATTCTGCAAATGAGTTATTTTTTCCTCTTATGATCTGTATCATTAGGAATTGAGCATACTTTGAACCTAGTTGCACACGCAGAAATAATGCCTCCAAATAATAAAATTAGATGCTTGATTGCCTTCCTATATGTAATCATGTCAATCTATGCACTAGTCATATTAAGACATATTAATAGTTTAATTTAATGGTTTCCACTCATCTAATGGGTGTAAAAAGTCCAAAAAACTATTAAATAGTCAAATAATTATTCACTATCCTTAGGAAGGTGAAAATCATTAAATCCATGTGATTGGGTTTAATTAAATATTGAGTCACAAAATTATAATTTTATTTGAGTAATGACTTATCGTGATGAAAATTGTCTTGTTTGATAGTATGTCTTGTGAAACAGGCAGGTAGATAGGGCTCCTTGACAATGATTTGGGGAGAAAAACCAAGGTACAAGAAAGTTATTCTGTCATCAGCCCCAAGCAGGCCAAAAGCATGAAGGCTGCACCCCCTTCAGAGATGAGAAAATTCAAGACTTAGTAAGATTTTGAAATGAGGTCGGTGTCATCACAGAAAAAGCTTAAGAAAGGAGAAACTTTAAGAGGAGTAAAAATTTACTATAGAAATATGAAAGCAGATGACCAAAATTCTTCACATTTTTAGAAAGTCCTATGCTGGAAAAGTTTGGCAAACGCCATATAAATACAATTTTGCAGAAGCAAGCAGTATGCATACCCATTCAGGGTTCATACACATTCAAATTTAGGGTATGTGATTTTTTTCCTTTGTGGGGCCTCCCAAGTAGTTCTCTAAGGACTTAAGGGCCACACAGGGCAATACTTACTCAAATTGACTGGAAAAATTGGAGCTCACAGATGCAGTGTCACCCATCCACCGTATTATCTCCAGATGTTTGGGGCATGTAATTCCTTTCTTTACTTCCCAGGGCTCTATCCTCTCTGGATAACTTCCATTCTCTTTGGAACATGTTATTCTCTCTTACTCCCCGTTTAATAAAATTTGTATATTGCATCTTGTATCTCTCCCTGAAACTCTTTTCTGCAGGAATAAACAGAGAGCCTGGGAAACATGAAAATCCAGGTTTGAGGGTTTTTTGCAGCAAAAAGCAATACCTTGTTACTGCAGATAGCCATGGCTTCCCCCAAAACGTGACTGATGACATTCTGGGGTTGTGCAGATCAAGCAGACCTCTGCTGCTGTTTGTTGACTGCTTTATCATGGAGCTGGTGGGCACCTAGCATGTACTTTGAGTGGTTAGTTTTGCAAATTTTTTTTCCAGTCAATGAAAAGTTTCTTCCCAAGGAGACAAAGTGAATCTGGCATGAGGAGAGTAACAATCTCTCTATTTAGGATACCATCTCTGTCGTTCCGTGGGTCTCTCAAAGACAACAGAAAAGAACAAGGTTATCCTATTGGTAGGAATGTAAATTGGCACCAACACTTATGGAAAATATTCTGGAGTTACATTTAAAAATGGAAATTCAAATGATAAATCAATACCAAACTTCAGCATTTATTTGAATGACATAAAATTAACTTGAAAGAATATTCCTCTCTGCTCGTAGATGCACTAACAATTGACAAAACATGGACTAAACCTAACTGCTATAGGTGACTTCATTAACAAAGTTATGATATATATTCAATGGAATACTATTCTGCTATTGCACTAATAAAGTGTGCCTTTTGGGACAAAACATTTGATGATATGATCAGGCTAAATGAAATAAGGCAGTACAAGACCATTATTAGATGGTTTTAATCTAATGTAGACAATGATATATAAAGCAAACACACTACCAAAATCCAACTGAAATAACTCCTTGACTCAGTTGAAAACCATAATAGTTACTGGAGATAAAAAGAGGTAGGGATAAAGAATTAGTAGAAGCTTTTCATTTAAAAAATTATCAATTTATTTTGGAGACATTAATAATGGTCTCTCTTGGACTTAATTCCAAGAGGAATTGGTAGAAGTCTTTTCTTTTCGTGGTAAAATGACACTGGAATTTTAATGGTGGATATCTGAATAAGTCATACATATATAGTTATAACGTAAATTCCTAAATTTATAAGAAGTGTAAAGTAATGATAACTCAAGGGCTGGGAAATTTAGATTCACTAGGAAAGAAAGAAGACAAAGAATACCAATTGTGTCATTGAAATGACATGAAAGGTCATTGTACTGTCATTGTACTGCAGTTTTGTCATGTTAACCTAATCTTATTCTAAGTTTCTTTATGGAAATATGCCAATCTTGTACTGGCTTTTCTCAAACTGTCCAGTTTCATTATTTAAAGTATGTATATAGCAGTACAAAAAATACACTACCCAAATTTGTGGTAAAATGCCCCAAACCGCACTAATGGATGATCGAATTCTACTAAAGTTCATTTCTTGGAGGAAAGACTTGTTGTTAATCATTCACACCTAAGTTCTTTCCAAGAAATTTTCTTTGACAAAAAATGAATTGCCTTCAGGAACCTGAAAATAAAAGATCAGTTGATATAATAGTATACTTAAACTTGTAAGGACAGGCCCTGTAGTGTTTATTGGTGAGATGATTGAAGGACCATTCTTGTTTCTGAGTTTAGATGAAGCATGTGTTATGAATGTACCACCTTTCCTGCCTTATCTCTGCCCAAACCTGCTTTGCTAGTTCCCTAACAGATACTATATCCATAGCACTCCCAAAGAAACTACTTGCAAGCAAATTTCTCCTCAGGGT